GTTGTAACCGAATCCGAACGGTGTCCGACCACGGATATACCAACGCCGATGCGGAACTTGGGGAAACCAAGAAGTACTGATACCGCTACTACCCAGACCTCTCCCGGGGTGCGGTCTGACCAGGATGTCGAGGCGAATCGAGCGGTGGCGACGAGGGCCTCTTAGGCGGCCGAAAAAAGGGACAACGAGGGACAGGAAAAGGTATGGATACCCTTTCTTCCTCTGAGGATGTAGCCTCCCGGGAGTTGCTCCACATGCCCAACTCCAGAGTCTCCAAAGCACCTGTACCCAAACACCCTGACGGTCTGGTCCTGCAGCCTGCCGCCATCCGCCAGTCGTGGGCGCCCAATGAGGAGGGGTGCGTCCAAGAGGGAGGCTCGCAGATCGTGGCCCGAGGCACGTGCGCGGCCCAGGGGGGGGGGGCCATGGACATCATGAAATACGAAGAGGCGCCACGAAATCTGAAGAGATATCGTGGCCCTGGCCACGATACACGCCCCCCCTAACTTCGGGATCCACCAAGATCCGCTGGTGCACCTGTCTGCCGCAAACAGCTGCCCCCCGTATGCCTCACCAGTCGGCTATCGTCAGGAGCTGCTGGCGACTGGGGGGCCTCTGTTTTGGGCGGTTCGGTACAAACACCAATCGAACTCTCACACACACACACACACACGGACCCACACACACACACACACACACACAACGCACACACAGGACACACACACCTTCGGTGGCAACTCATGGGAGCCACCCATTTCATCTTGTCGGCTTTTGCGAGTCGACGCGAACCGACGCTAACCGAAGCCGAATCAACGCTGATCGACACGAGCCGACGCCAAACCGGCGCTACCTCTCCAACTCCCAGACGCTAACCAACGCCAATCGACGCCAAAAGCAACACTCAAAGGACACGCCAGGCTCCCGTGATTTGCGACCGAGCACACCCCTTTTGCGGGATCCCGACAACCATCACCCCCCCGCTTGGCCGCACCCGAGCCGGGCGTCCGCCGCCAGAGGCCAGAGCCGCACGTCCGCCGGCCCTCCGCCGCGTGCGAGGCTCGCCGAGTGCGAGGCCCCTTTGTGGAGCGAACGGTACACAGAAAGGTAATCCTGACAGGGAATGTGTCGACCCCCGATCCCAGGCTTCGTTGGGTTTTCTTTTTTGATTCGCGGCCCGCAAGGAGAAGTCCAGATGGCGGAGTGACCGAGGCTGGCTGAGGCTGGGGCACAGCGACAGATAATTGGCGCGACATCGCGCAGAGTGCACCTGCAGATAACTAACGACGCTGGACATGTGCCAGCAAAAGAGGCAACCGCGAAGGCACCAGCTGAAGCCCAGGCGCCACCACGCGGACCCCAAAAGCCGCTGAGCGTGTGCCAGCAGAAGGGGGGCGGGCGCAAACAGGTCGGACCCGCAGCTGGAGAACCGACTGCCAGACGGAACGTGCCAAAACCACTCACTTGCCTCCTAGGGCGTGGGCCAGTGTGTAAGCCACCGAGGGGGTTCGGGCAAATGCTAGAAGGGTGCCAGCCAACTACAGGAGAGGGCGTCCGCGATGGCCGCAGGTACCAAGGCGGTGTGGAGCCTCCGCTCCCAGAAAGGCCCAACTGTGGCAGGAGCCGACGTCAGCACGAGCGTCAGGGCGGTGCCTTTGGCCGACGACCGTGTCCGCCGCGGGCTGGCAACCGGCCAACCTATGAGTCCAAAACTGCCGACCGCACTGTCTACTGTGTCTTCGCGAATGGACAAACAATGAACTTCGGCGCCGAACCCTGGGAAATACGGTGGGGGGGGCGCCCATCCATGATAAGGGTGCGTCAGAACAGCCCCCTTGAGGTGTATCCAAAGGCGTCCCTCCTTTTCTGAATGGACCAAACATTTGGGGCCCACCCGTGGGAGATAAGAAGGGGGGACATCCCAGGGTTCCCGTCCGTTTCTTACCGCTCAATTCTTTGTCGTAAAGCCAAGGGTTGGGATAGACACATCGCCTGCGAAATCACTTTGCTGCTGTCGTTGCCCCTACCCCCCACCGAAATCCGACGTACTGATTTGTTTCAATGTTTGCGGGGCCCGCGGAAGCCCCGACCATTCCCCCACTTTGGATGTCTGCCACTGCCCCTCCTCCTCCTCCTCCTCCTCCTCCTCCTCCTCGTCCTCCCTGTCGCGCCCCGAGGCCAGTCGAAAGGGCGGGCCGGGCGTTTCGCCTGAGACTTCATCATCACTTCTGACCTTGAAACTTGAAAACATTGGCAACAGCTTCACAGATGGAGGGCGGGTGGCTTTCAAAACGTGGCTCTCGCCTCAGCACAGCGCACATGTGTTCAAATTCGCAAGGGCTTCACGGATTGAGGGCGGGTCGTTTGGGAAACGTGTCTCTCGCCTGATCGCCGTGCGCATTCGTCTCAAACGACTGCAAGAGCATGCGGGTTTTGGGCGGGCGGCTTTCACAAAATGTGCTTTCGCTTTTTGCGCAGCGCGCGCTCGTCTCAAACGACTGCAAGAGCTTGCGGGTTGTGGGCGGGCGGTTTTCACAAAATGTGTTCTCGACTTTTGCGCAGCGCGCGCTCGTCTTAAGACTGCAAGAGTGCCACGGATGTACGGCGGGTCGTTTTCAAAACGTCGCTCTCGCCTTAGCGCAGTGCGCATTCGTTCCAGAAACGCACCAATAGCTTCACGGATGGAGGGCGGGTCGTTTTCAAAATGTGGCTCTTGCCTTCGCGCCGCGCGAATTTGGTCTAAACGCTTGCATGAAACGTTTTGCGGATTCCTATGGTCACCGTAATAACCAAAAATTGCGCTTTGGAGCTATTCCGGATATTCCGGTCGCGACAGTTACGTTGATTCGCTGCGTTGCAGTCCCAGGAATGGCGTTCTGGCACGATTCAGGATCGTCTGGACGTAACAATTACGTTGATTCGCGGTGTTGGGGTCCCCAGAACGGTGTTTTTGGCACGCGTCAGGGTCTTCAAACGGTGGTCTCCCAGCGGAGCACCTCCCTCAGTGGAGGTTAGTCCTCTTTGGGGCCTACGGAGAGGGAGCTTGGAGGGAAACTTGATTCCAAGATGATCGTTGATGCGTCTTGGGTTTACACTGGTCCTCCTCCTCCTCCTGTCCCGACGGTTTCGGGAATGCTATAGGCGTCCCTGGCCATGGCCCAAATGGAATCCCGGGGCCCTCCGGGCCTCGTGAGTCGTGCTCTAAAAACAATGCAGGCCTCCTTGGGGATTCTGGGGGCACCCTGGACGCGCTCCGCTGGCAACGCCCGGCAGCTGGTGTTCGGGCGGGGCCCGGGGGCCGGCACCTGGCAGCAGATCCCTGCGCCTCGCGGGAAAGGCGAGCGGCCCTCAGACATCCCGATCGGACAGCCAACGAGCGAAGGTGGCCCCAAGATGCACCCAAGACGGCACCAGATGGCCTCAACATGGCCTCCAGGACTGCCCGAGAGGCCTCGAAGACGTCCTCCAAGAAACCCGAAAGCTCGGAAACCACCTGGTCCGATAGCTGGCCCGACTCCGTGTTCCCCGAAAGTTTTCGAAACCTACTCGGGGAACGCGTGGTCCAATAGCTTGGCCAAGCTCAAAAACAATGTTCGGCAACGCAGGCGCTTCCAAAAAGGCAAAGGGCGGCGGTGATTCGCTCGAGGCGTCTTCGATAACGCCAACGTTTCAAGATGCGCTGATGGCTCCTATCCCCCCCCCGCATGCTGTTCCCAGATGCGCCAATGCAGCGCCGAGACGCACCGACGCAACTTTGTTTTATCCCATTTGAAATAGGGAGGGGGCAGGCGGCAAAGGGCGAAGCCCTGACGGATACATATGCTGTTGTGTACACGCTTGATACATGCAATCGTACACTTTTCCATTGACCACCCTCCAATAAAAATGCGGTTCTCGCTTCAACGCCGCGCACGTTCAACCAACAGTGCGCACTTGTTCAAAGGATTTGTATGGTTTTCCCAGGGAGCGAGTGATGCCACGATCTAGGATTGTCAGGACGCCACAGCCAAGTTGATTCGCGGCGCTGATGTCCCACAAAACATGTGTTGGGACGACTGACAGTTATCAGACGGTCGTTTTTGAACGGGGCTCTTCCCGCTATGGGGTGGAATTCTTCAAGGGGCGAACTTGGAGGGAAGGCTTCTTGCAACTTCGTTGTCTACACTCGTCACTTCTCGTCCTGCTGCTGCTGCTGCTGATGGCGGACATAGGTCTCCCTGCAGCCAACTCTCCAGCTCCCCCTCGCCGCGGCTGGGCGGTGAGGGAGGGGCTCGTTGGGGAACATGTGGGAAGGGAAAAGGTGGAGAAAAGCCTCCCGATGAGGGGAAAGGTGAGATTGGGGAAGGGGGCGGCCCCCCCCCCCCTCGTCCTCCTCCTCCTCCCCCCGCCGGCGTCTTCCTACCAACTCCACGCCGTGCGTGGCGGTGCGTCGGGGTTCGGCCGTGGCCCCCGGTGAAGTCCTGCCGCATCGCGCCGCTCCCCTCTGCAGACCTGCTGGGCTGCGAGGCTGCCTCACAAGGCCGTGTGCGCCCAAGGGGGGTGGGGTGGGGTAGGGCAGGGCTGTTTAGTAAACGCCCAGGGCCGTTTAGTAAACGCCAAGTGTCCGGTCTGGGTGGTTTTTCCTCCCCTGACTCCAGACTCCCTCGTCGTAAGGGCTGGGGTCTGTGACAGAGTAGGCAGACCTGTCCGCGGTCCCCGGGGCTCCCCCTCCTCGAGCCACGGTCGGACTGTGAGGGGCATGTCTCTCGGGGCGTCGGGCTGTCTGCAATGGTGGGGGGCCTTCGCGCCGTCTCTACTGGGCAGTGTGGTCGCGTTCTTGTGCCTCTCGCTTCCTGTCCTGGTAAGGGCTTCGAGTGCCTCGCCCCGAGTGCATGAGTGCACGAGCAGAGGAAGAAGCAAATGGAGGAGCAGGAGGGGAAGCAGAGGGCTGGAGATGAAGAAGAAGGAAAGGGACGAGGAGGAGGGAAACGACGAAAACGACGAGCAACAATAAGAAGAACACTCCTGTGCTAACCGCTCGTCCCAATGAACCTGTGCAACGAACGCCTGCGATACCAGACACGACTATGACGCGTGCCGCTGTCGGAATCGGCCACCTGCACGCTTTAATGCGTGTTGTGACCATGATTCGAGTCGCTCACTTTTGAAAACTCCCACTGGTGGCTGTAGACTGTGAGCCATCAAGTCCCTCTGCGTGATGCTCCAAGGCCCGCTGTCCATACTGGACTCGACCTTATGATCTGGAAGCCGGTCGAAGGATGCTACTTTTCAATACTTCCGAAATTCGCTGGCCGATCGGGCTATCGGCGTGTTAGACCTGGACCGACACGGCAACGGGAAGAACACTTCAGAAACTTGACCGAGATGGCTTATGGTGCCGTTCGCTCTTTGAACCCTGGTGTCTGATGCCAATAACTGTTTGCATCACACCTCGGTGTTGGGAACATTGGTGCTAACAACTATGTACGTTACCGCTCGCTCTTTGGAACCTTGGTGTTCAGAGCTTGTCACGTCACTGTGAGCTCTTGCAAGCCTTGGAAATAAAAACTTGTCGCGTCACCGTTTGCTCTTGGGAACCTTGATGTTAGGAGCTTGGTACGTCACCGCTTGTTCTGTAGAGCCTTGATGTTTAGAGCTTGTCACGTCAGCATAGCTTGTTACGTCACCGCTTGCTCTTGAGAGCCTTGGTGTCCAGAGCTTGTTATTTGATTCCGAGGATAGTTCAAGAATGCCCGAAGGAAGCAGGCGAGTTCCCACGCGCACCCTGCGGGGCAGCGCAATTCCTACACCTGTGGCGAAGGGCAGACCTGTCCCGACATCCAGGCAGCCCAGTCCCTACACCCAGGGGTTTTCTTCTACCCTCTGCCTACCTCCTGTTACCCTACGGGGTTAACAACGACGACGGTCATCAGCATCATCCTCAGCAGCAGCAGCAGTAGCAGCATCACCACCACCACCATCATCACCATCACCATCACCATCACCATCACCATCATCATCATCATCATCATCATCAGCATCATCATCATCAGCATCATCAGCATCAGTATCATATTCTTCATCATAGTATCCATCACCCCCATCCTCATCCTCATCCTCATCCTCCTTATCATGATCATGATCATGATCATCATCATCATCATCATCATCATCATCATCATCAGCAGCATCATCAACATCATCATCACCACCCTAATCCTCATCAGCAGCACGATTCTAATCATAGGAACTGGCCCGAGATGGCTCATGGCACCGTGCACTCTTGGGGGCCCAGGTGCTAAAGGCTTTCAACGTCACCGCTCTTACCGGGAGACTTGGCGTTCAGAGCGTCTCACCTCATCGGGAGCTCTTGGAGAAACCTTGGCGTTCTAACCTTTTTACGCAACTGGCTGGTCTAGACATATGTTGTCAGCCACCCGGAGCTCTTGGGCGCCGTGGAGTGGAAGCTGTGTCCATCACTGTGCCGTCGTGAGGCCCGAGGGCTCACACCACGGATCGTACTGCGGAGCCTTGGTGTTTAGAGCTTGTTCTGCACGTGATGAAACCAACATCCAGCCAGAGCCTTGCGAAAATCATGGAAATTGGCGTCTCTGGGCCTCCGTGGGGGTACTGTTGGTGCCCTCTTGGGCCGTCTTGGGACCCTCTGGGCCAATTACTGGGGACCTTTGGGGCTGTCTTGGGGCTCTTCTGCGGGCCTCTTGGGGCTCCGTTGGGGCCCTCCTGGGTGATTCTTTTTTTTGTTGCTTTAATTCCCTACCTAGGCTCTGCCTAGTAGAAGTGTTCTTACTCGGTAAGCTTAAAGGGCCGGGCAGTGTTCCCCGCCCTGGGCTGTTCCCCTGGCATCCACCCCGCATCTCCCCCAGCATCAACCCCGCGGTTCCCCCAGTTGCGCCCCTGCTTAGCTTAGCTTAGCTTAGCTTAGCTTAGCTCAGCTCAGCTTATCTTAGCTTAGCTTAGTCTAGCTTAGCTTAGCTTAGCTTAGCTCAGCCTATCTTAGCTTAGCTTTGCTTATATCATCTGAGTTTAGCCTAGCTTAGCCTAGCTTAGCTTAGCCTAGCCTAGCCTAGCCTCGCTTATTTTAGCTTAGCTAATCTCATATTAGCTTAGTTTAGCTTAACTTACCTTAGCTTAGCTTAGCTTCGCTTAGCTCATCTTAGCTTAGCTTAGCTTAGTCTAACTAACTTAGCGTAGCTTAGTTCAGCTTAGCTTAGCTTAGCTATCTTAGCTTAGCTTAGCTTAGCTTAGCTTAGCTTATGCTGCTTTCCTAGGGGCTCCAACTCCTAGGTAGGGTCGCACTGGGATAATTTTATTGGGGCCCTCTGGGGCCGTCTTGGGGCCCTCTTGGACCGTCTTGGGGCCCCCTTGAATGCCTTTTGCGCCGTCTTGGGCGGTCGTTCGGTCTTCATTGCCCTTTCTTGGCCCGAAAAGCCGATCACATTAAACAATTTAGGGCCATACATGTGTTTGCTTTTGAAGGCCCTGTTGGGAGTCGTCTGGAGGGCCTGTTGGCCCGTCTTGGGACCCTCTCGGACCGTCTGGAAACCAACTTCAAACGCTCGTCACCACGGCCGGCACGGGAACGGAAACAGCGCAGGACCTTGCCCGAGAGGGCTCATGGCACCGTTCGCTCATAGGAACCTCGGCGTGAAGACCTTTTACGTCACCTCTCGCTCTTGGGAGCCATGGTGCAAAGATCTTCTTCACGTCATAGCCTTGGCGCTAAGAGCTCAGCCATCACCGTTCGCCCTTGGGAGAATTGGTATGAAGAGTTGCTTACGTCACTGTTCACTATTGGGGCTCTCTGCGGGTCCTGTTGGGTTATGTTGTTCCCATCCTACTGAAGGACCTCGAGGGCCGCCCTCGGGGTCCTCTGGGGCCCGGTTGGGGCCCTTCTTGGGCCGCCTTTGGGCGGTCTTTGGGGGCCTCTTGGGCCGTCCTGGGCCGAACAAGGACAACAGAAGGGACATCAAACTGGTTGCCCTCCTGAAGCCCACCCGGGACTCCACTGGAGGGCCTGCTGGCCCGTCTTGGGGCCCTCTCGGGCTGTCTTGAGGCCGTCGCAGGCCATCTTCAAACGCTCTTGGGCGGTCTCGGGGTCTCTTGGAGCGCTCTTGAACCGTCTTGGAGCCGTCCTGGGGCCTTCTTCGAGGTATCTTGGGCCGTCTTGGATCTTGGGCGCCTCTTGGGCCGTCTTGGGGCCGGGGGCGCGCGTTCACGCCACAACGGGCGCGAACGTCGTATACATCGCTCTTTCCGTCACCTGGGCTGGCACGGGAACGAAAACAACGCTTCAAGAACTTGCCCGAGAGGTGTCATGGCACCGTTCGCTCCTGGGAACTCTGGCGCGAAATACGTAGCACCCCGCAGATGCGCATAAGAGTGAGGGGGCGGTGGGGATGTCGGCAGTTTGCGAGACTCTGGAGAAGCCCGCCGCAGGCGCCAAAGTTTCACGAATCATACAACGAGTCCGGCGCAGGCGCTGATTTTTTCGTTAAACCAATGTAGATAGGCCACGGGTGGGTCGCAAATGGGTCGCGGGTGGGTCGCGGGTGGGTCGCGGGGTGGGTCGCGGGTGGGTCGCGGGTGTAGAGGGCAGCAAATCCACCCCATAATAATCACCCCGACAAGCGAAGCCGCTTAGTAAACGCACGCAAGGAATGAATCGAACAGGGCACGGCTGTTTAGTCAACGCCCAGGGCCGCTATAGTAAACGTTGATTGTCGGGTCCGGGTGGTTTTTCGTCCCTTGAGGGTGGGTCGCGGGGTGGGTCGCGGGTGGGTCGCAGGGTGGGTCGCGGGTGGGTCGCGGATGGGTCGCGGATGGGTCGCGGGGTGGGTCGCGGGTGGGTCGCGGGTGGGTCGCGGGGTAGGTCGCGGGTGGGTCGCGGGTGGGTCGCGGGTGGGTCGCGGGGTGGGTCGCGGGGTGGGTCGCGTGGTGGGTCGCGGGGTGCGTCGCGGGGTGGTTCGCGGGGGGTGGGTCGCGGGGTGGGTCGCAGGTGTCGCGGGTGGGACGAAGACAACAAACAACAACAACAACAACAACGACAACAACAACAACAGCAACAACAAGGATAGGGATCTTCCCTGGCCCCCGGCGCTCGGGGGACGTGCGGAGCTCTCCTCCAGGGGGGGGCAGGAGTCGTCCCCGGCCCCCGGGGCCCCCCAACCCCCCCCCCCCCCCCAACAACACAACAACAACAACGGACCGGTTCAAATAAAAAAAAACCTTCTAGCTCTATTAACACTTTACACCGGACTCGCTTCGCTTACTTGCGTGCGCGCGTAAGCGAAGCGAGTCCTGGTGCCATCCCTAATAGGATCCTATTAGAGGTGGATCCATCCCTAATAGGATCCTATTAGAGGTGGATCCATCCCTAATAGGATCCTATTAGAGGATCCATCCCTAGGATCCTTAGAGGTGGATCCATCCCTAATAGGATCCTATAGGATCCTATTTGAGGCGGATCCATCCCTAATAGGATCCTATTAGAGGTGGATCCATCCTCCCCATCCCTATAGGATCCTATTAGAGGTGGATCCATCCCTAATAGGATCCTATTAGAGGTGGATCCATCCCTAATAGGATCCTATTAGAGGTGGATCCATCCCTAATAGGATCCTATTAGAGGTGGATCCATCCCTAATAGGATCCTATTAGAGGTGGATCCATCCCTAATAGGATCCTATTAGAGGTGGATCCATCCCTAATAGGATCCTATTAAAGGTGGATCCATCCCTAATAAAATCCTATTAGAGGTGGATCCATCCCTAAGAGGATCCTATTAGAAGTGGATCCATCCCTAATAGGATCCTATTAGAGGTGGATCCATCCCTAATAGGATCCTGGAGGTGGGTCCATCCCTAATAGGATCCTATTAGAGGTGGATCCATCCCTAATAGGATCCTATTAGAGGTGGATCCATCCCTAATAGGATCCTATTAGAGGTGGATCCATCCCTAATAGGATCCTATTAGAGGTGGATCCATCCCTAATAGGATCTATTAGAGGCGGATCCATCCCTGATAGGATCCTATTAGAGGTGGAGCCATCCCTAATAGGATCCTACTAGAGGCGGAGCCATCCCTAATAGGATTCTATTTGAGGCGGATCCATCCCTAATAGGATCCTATTAGAGGTGGAGCCATCCCTAATAGGATTCAATTTGAGGCGGAGCCAGCTATGATAGGATCCTAGTAGAGGTGGAGCCATGCCTACTAGGATTCTATTAGAGGTGGATCCAGCTACGATAGGATCCTAGTAGAGGTGGATCCATGCCTACTAGGATCC